CACGAAAATCAAATGAACTGTATAAATATTAACATAATTTAGCACTGAATTGAAGGAATAAAGAAAGTAGTGTCAACACAGTGTGATTTGAAAGCTTCATGTTTAGACGTCTAATTTACACCTTGTTTCTTCTGATTTATCCGGTTTGGATATGGAATAAAAGGGGATTTAAGTTTCGATCTTCAAAATACGTAATATGAGATGCAAACTTATAATAAACTTTATTTAAGATTTAAAATCATTCTAGTATTTACCATAATGAACATAACATGTATTTATATATCGCCCATGTTTCGTTTGATATACTGCTTTGGTTGTATTTCCTCGACCGTTTCTTCTCCTCGAGTTCTCTGTATCACTCATTGTCTTTATCCACTTCTCACCCTCTTGCGTCAAAATCATAACACGATGACGAATTTAACAATTGTTTTGACAGGGTCTTGAAAGAATGACTACTTGAATTTTTCAGCGAAGTAATCTTAGAATGCAATGAAAATTATCCCTGAAAATAATTGGAATTCAGTGTCCATTCATTTGTCGATAAGAATAATAACAATTTATATTTTCACTTGGTTAATTACTGTAAGATAATGAATATTACAACTAGATAATCAATATACAGTAGGCTTGCGGGTGCACCATGTGAGAGAGAGAGGGAGGATGGAGGAATCCTGAAAAGGACTCTCGATAATCTTTCTTGAGGGTTTAATGTCCTGAAAAGGACTGTTGGTATAGTCTTGAAAAAACACTTTTGGTTATCTTTCTTAGCTTATAGTTCTAAGGAGAACTATAGCGCTTGAAGAGGATGAGTGGCGGGAGTGTCATCGCATTGTCACGACACATCATTTTTCAACATGTATTTCTTTTACAAATATGGGATTTTTGATTTTATGTTGAGTCTATTTGAAATGACGTATATCTACTGCATCAAAACCACTTCAAACTCATCCCAAAATTTCAAAGTTGGTTTTAACAAAAAAATGCTAGAAACAAAAGAAATATGAAGATATATGACGGTAATTCTTTCGTGGACAAGAAAAAAGCATTTAAAACATGCTTTCACCAAAAATAATGCGTCATAAATTATATCACCCTTAAAACTTAAAACTAAACAAAATCATAGGTCTATAAGTTCTCAGAAAGTGAACTTTACCTTTAAACAAATTATTTTTAAAGGTGGATAGGGTTACATGAATATTTTGCCAAAAAACCACACCAGCGTAAACAGTGCCATGATTAAGAGCAACGAAGTGGCACCAAAAGAAGATCAAATTTGACCCCAATTAAGGCTTTGCATTCATGTTGTTCGTTAAATTGACAGGACATGGACGTTTTGTAAATCTGTCCTTCCCCCCCCCCCTTTCTCTCTCTCTCTCTCTCTCTCTCTCTCTCTCTCTCTCCCTCCCTCTCTCTCTCTTCTGAATTCTTAAAGCACTTGAGACAGACAGAACTGTTGAACAGACTTCATATGAGGTGTCGAAAGTGTACTGATTGGACACACGGACTTTATATTAGATGGGATACAAATTTTGGAGGGAGCTGTGTCAAAAATGTCTTTCAGCATTATATCTATTTCGCACATATTATCTGATAGAATAAACAGGGGTCTTCTGTTATGACTCCCCCTCCTGGTAGTATGGTAGTGTTGGGGAGGGGGGGGGGTAGAGACGCTGGTGCCATTTGGGGGAGGGGCAGCGGCTCTACATGATGGATGAAATGCGAGAAACTAAAGCCATTTGCACGATACAAAATTAAAAGTTAAACATATTATATGTTCTCTCTCCCTTTCTCTCCGCCTCTCTCTCCCTCTCCCCTCTCCCTCTCACTCTCTCTCTCTCTCTCTGTCTCTTTCTCTCTCTCTCTCTCTCTCTCTCTCTCTCAATCCCTCTGTCTCCCCCCCCCCCCTCTCTCTCTCTCTCTCTCTCTCTCACTCCATCTCTCATGTTGTTCACCCTTTGTCTATTTTTACGTCACACTTTTCGTCCAAAAAAGATTTCCCTGCCGGGAGGGTGGACGGGAAAAGCAAAACACTTAACTAAGGAATCAGAGACCTCATTCCCGCTAGCAAATGCACGTAACTACTTCAGTTTAGCACCTGCATGCATATAATGTCACGGGGAAATTAACTGTATGCACCAGATTGCCTTCGAAGATGTACTCCTCTTTGCCTAGCAAAGAATTGGAGGATAATTTTGTGGAATTAACGTAATGAATTAAGGTCTTAGACCGTGGTTTGTTCGTGTGCACTATATATTTAAGCTCCTAGTTTTCAAGTTTACGAAATTGAAAATCTTTATATGCATGCAACCTTTTCTATGTGTTTCAGACCAAGGAGCGCAAGAGAGAATCTAAAAAATATATAAGGTGGAATAATAAAATTACTCCAAAAAGAAAAATCAGGGAATAGAGAGATTAAGAGGGATGGGGAGAGATAGAGAGAGATGGTGACGGAGAGAGAGAGAGATGGGGGAGAGAGAGAGAGAGAGAGAGAGAGAGAGAGAGATGGGAAGGGGAGGGGAGGAGATCGACGGGGACTAGAAAAAGAGTGCCTTCGGACGAGAGTAAGTTGTAATTTCAGAGTATAGAAGATGATACCGATTGTCCAAGCAAGAAGTTACCTCTTGGTCCAAGTTAGTCACGGGTGAAACATACGTTTTTGAAACTTGTATTTGAATGCTGTTCTTCCACTCTGGAATCCTTCGCCGACACTCAATGGCGTATCCGAAGGGGCTTCAATAAGGGGGGGGGGGGTACCCTTTTCCCCGGCAAAGTTCACTCTGGCGTATCTGAATGTAGCTCATATGAAGCCAGCTTCTCTAGTACTGTATTCAAAAGGAAATAATAATTGTATTTTTTTTTAATCTCCTCTCCAATTTCGTCATTCGTCCTATGAAGATCAACTGGTCACATAGGCTGTCGTTAAACGTCTTATACGGAAATTAAATTAGTAATCAATTAATTAACGTAATCGACCGATGTCCGGCCATAGGGGGTATTGTAATTGTTGTGTTCGGTGTCTTGTCATTCAAGTGTTGATCTTGTTGTGTGTAAGGTACGTTGCTCTTCTCTTTAATTTTCACTATCACTTGAACATCACGATGTTAGGAAAATCCTGATATTTTGACCGCAGTGTAAATAGACATATTCTGGCTTTCAATATTATCATAGCGTGTTATCATTTATTGGGCTCTCGCTGTGTAGATTCAAGGCCAACCTTGTTGTCACGTTCTTTTTAATCGTTATTAATCCATTTCATCTCCAAAGTAATCTCATCTCCTGGACACTACCTAAACATAGTCTTTACTATAGTCTTTACTGATGAGAAAAGGATAATTAATCATAGAATTCGACGAAATTTACTCTTAGGAAATTAAAAAAAAAAAAAAAAAATCAAACAAAACAAACAAAATGAGCATATTGATTCTGTTTCACCATTTTCATTTGTGGGTAATTTTATTAGTTGTTCAACAACCTGAGAAAGAAACAGTAGGAATAAAGTTACAACCCCACAAAGCGTGGTTCATTAGCAAGTCTCATAATCTCATGTACAAGTAAGATGGAATATTTATGTATCTAAATATGTATCTAAATATTTCCATTCAGAGATTTGAATTGAATCTAATCGAATTGGTATTTATTCAAATAATTCCACATGGCAGCCCCGGGGCTGAATTACAGGGATTTTACGAGGTAAATTGACAAAAGACAAAATGACAAGCAGTAGATGGTAGGTTCAAATCCCGCTGGTTCCAAGATTTTTTCTGACTTGTTTTTCAATTACAGATCGATCAATCGATCTTATTTTCTGGGTGTAAGCCACAAATATGTTCAAAAGACAAATTGTTTTATAATTTATACATAAACTATGGTAATACAATAATATAATAATATGAAGGAGAGAAATAGAGAGAGAGAGAGAGAGTAAGAGGAAGAGAGAAAGAAATTGAGAGACGAGACTGAAAGGAGAGAACGAGAAACAATAATGTAGGGGCACAAGACCGTGTGGCAACCTAGAGGAAGAGAATATAAATTACATGATAAATGAGAAGATTGATTAACTAAATAATCATCTGAAACCATCACCCTGAAATTGAGTCAAAATAGAACTAAACCCATAGTAATTAAACATAGAACTATACAAAAGCTTCAAGATGCTTGCTAGAGGTACAATTTTCGTTTTGAAAATCGCAGTAATACGACGCGTACACATTGACAAGCTTACTCATCACGCCCGGCCGCTGGGAGAAATAATGAGCGATTACTTACATTTTCCTGTGTGACCTAACCTTATGACTGTGTAAGTTTCTGATCAAATGCCACGATAAGTATCTGCGAAACGAGGACAGCGCCCCTATTTTAAAGCATCGTACATTTATTAAGAAGCACTTTATTGCCAAATGAGGGTTGCTTCATTACTGATAAGCGTTCTGTAACGACCATTTCAAAATGTGATTGTGATTGGGGAGTGGGAAGGGGGGGGGGGGGGGGGGGGGGGGGGGGGGGGGGGGTGGGGGGGGGGGGGTAATTGTGAGGATCTCAACTGATGTACATGAACTAGTTCAGTCTCGTTCAACGAATAGTTGTTTGAAATGCTTTGATATCAAGGATGTTTGACATAAATATATTTATTCGTTTTATTTAAACAGGGTACCTCTCTCAGTATTTAAACCGTTTTCCTGAGACACCCTGTACAAATTATAGGTTATAGAGGGCAGGCACGTAGCCAGAATAAGGGGTAAGAGCATTTTTTTTTTGTCCCGAAAATTCGAAAATTTTGACCGATCGATATTTCGTTCCGTTGGGGGGGGGGGAGGGGTTAAGGTCACCTCTTTTGGGTCACCCATTGGCAGGATTTTTTTGGTTTTAATTTTTTTATTATTTATTTAAAAGAAATTGAGAGGGGGTTCCTCCAAAACACACACACAAACTTTGAGGGGGGGGGGTTCGACCCCCAACCCACCCCCCCCCCCCCTTTGTACGCCCCTGGGTGGTATGTGTTTTAATCAGACATTCGCAAGTGAAACTGTATCCAATATCAGTTCACGTCTCCTTCCAAATTGCACATTGTCCAAAGTCGAAAACGATTTACGCTTTCCTTGACCTCAAACAAATATGTATCTTGACCCCAAACATGACCTTCACAGATGACGTCATAAGCGATCTAATACCTGAGTTCGTGTGCGATATATTTCGTTGTTGAAGAAAATATATACACTGCCCTCTTTTGTCACAACCGTGTGATTTCTAAGATTGATAAAAGTTGCAGAATATGTTTCAAAGCTATATTTTCCCTTACTCCACGTATACTCTACCACAACCCCGTCTAACATCTAACCTCTTTGAAGAGTAGTGTTCATCAGTTTTCTATTGGCCTGACACTCATGAAAGTTGTTCTCAGTCACCCGCTTTCGCTTTCTTAGGCAGGCCGTTGTAATGATGACTTGGACGATTACGATTGCGTGTACGATGCCAATGATGATGAAGACTTTTGTGTACGACTGGGTTAAGTCAAACAGAGATCCTGCATTATAACATGAACAAGACATACAACACCGTCAATCAATCAGATCAATCTTTTATGGAAAAAACATGGTTAATATGAGAACGGAAACTGAGTATCAAATACTCATTTAATAGTAACTACTTATATTTACAGTTGCGGATTAAGTAACCCCCTCCACCCCCTCCCACACACCTAGCCAATCTGGTATATCATACAGAACGCACGGAGGATAACAATAAATGTACTCCCCTCATATGCCCTAACCCAACAACACCCACCCCTCTACCTAGGGGAAATTTAGACCCTAGGATAAAGCAAACATTTGAAAGCTCCTTTTCTTGTTTTGAGGCACCCCAAAAGTCATCTATTAATTTGGTATAAGGATCCATATGGCACAAGAAATGAAATTTCTTATTTAAGAAAGGTTAGTAATTATATCAGAAAGTCCGTTTGATAGTTTGTTATGCAGAGTATTACGTTACTTATACTCGATGTACCATTGTCTTAAGTTTGTTTTTGGCAACAAGTATGTTTCAGAACAGCAGTATTTGGCTGAGCTTGGCATGATGGAATAAAGCACCAAAGAAACCTACCTATACAAAAAAGCCATTATATTTTGCTATGAAAAGGTGGAAAACTAAATAAGAAAAACAAAAATTATACCTCAGGATGAGAATTAATTAATGTTTCAGGAGGGGAATTGTCCTCGATATTTTTTAAAAGAGGGGTATGCCCTGTGTTTGACCCCTTCCCCCTGCTCTAACAAGTACCTGAGATGTATCCGGCTGCTAACGCACCGAGTCCGAAAAAGAACGAAGCAAGTGCAATGGCGAGGCTGAGGTTATCTTGGTCTACCAGGGTTTCCTTCGGAATGGCGAGAAACAACGTATCTAATGAGAAAAAGCAGAACCCTTGTAAAAATGCCAATCCAGCCCTGGTCGAATAATCTGACCCGATAAAATCCAAGAGAAATGATATTGTGATTGGGATTCCAGCAACGATGTAGATGTAGAAGGCATTGACGTCTTTGGTGACCAGGGCGATGAACACTGTCCTTCCAATGATACCACCAACACCGGCGATTGATGAGAGGGAAACAGCTCGAGATTCGGCGATACCAAGTTGTTCTGCATGGGGTACCAGGAAAAACATCCAAGAGTAGTAGGCATAGGCGAAGAGGAAAATGGTAAGGAGATTGAACCAAAACAACGGTTCCTGAAGCAGAAGTGACTTCCAGCCAGACTCGTGCCTTAGAGAAGACTCCTTTTGTTCCCCAAGTACGTTTCGCGGGGTATCGGTATGAAGGTTTGGGTTGCCATCGATAAGTTGTAAACTTTCCGCAGTTCCTATCTCAGTCTCAATGCCAAGATCTTGTTCACCGCTGTCTTTCTCTTCAAAAGAAGGACGCCTTATTGATGCGCATCGTGTAACTTCAGCATATGACGTTGCTGAGGAATTCCCACCTGTCTGGAAATGTTGCTTTGTCACGCTAGCATCTTGATTCTCCAATCCATTATCTCTAATCCTCTCCTTATCCTGCACATCAGATGGACCCGACCCATCTCCTTGAACTTGATCGTATCCTGCACGGGGGTTCCTCAAGTTGGGTTCTCGTATGGCTACTGCACACACGATCAGGTTCAGGGTTATCCCTCCTAAGATTAGGAACGTACCCTCATACCCGTAGGCTTCCAGTGACTGTTCAGTGATCAATGGTAGGAGCATTGTCCCAGCGGTATGGCCGTACATAGATATGGTATTTATTAGGACGAACCCATCAGGGAAAAAGTCATTTACCACGAGCATAAAAGGCATGTACACGCATGCGATGCCAACTCCTGCAGAAAGGATAGAACAAACGAAATGTTAAACGTTCTAATTTTCCGCATTGTGAATTCTAGTTGGACTTTCTTGTCATCTTTACTGCCTATTCAAATAAATAAAAAACTTTCCTTACTCAGAGTATGGAAGCTTTAAAGTGACTAAAGCCATAGAACATTCAGTGCAATAATTAACGAACCTTGTTTCAGTTTCGGATTTATATAGGAAACGTATAAGTTTAATACTCACAAACAACTTCTTTTATCTGAAATACAGGTGACCGTGATGATGCATTCTAAGCTAATTGTCATCCCCTATTCCTTTTCTCGAATAGAAAATATAAAACTAATATAAACAAATTAATCAGTTCTTGTAAATGCATATTTGTTAGGGTATCATCAAATACATCTTCTCTAATCTAATAAGCATTTGGTAATATGGTGGTATTTGTTAACTTATCAATCATTCCCTATTCCTTTTCTCGAATAAAAACAAAAGATCTGATTCATCACGTTCATGAGATAAATATTAAAATAAGGTTTGTTTGTCACGAAGAATATCATACCTGTCAGAGCCAGGCTCGTTCCTACGAGTATGGTATTACCAAGGAAGGCAGAGAGTACCAAGCATACGCCACTCATTGTCCCTCCGATCAAGGCTACCAAACGACGACTTGTTCTCTTTAAAATCAAAGATATCATCGGGCCTGAAAAGAGAAAAGCTCAGTTTATTTTGTTAAACAGAAATATGAAAGTCAACATGAGATTAGAATGTCAGAGTATCATCAATCGTCACACCCAACACTTATATTCTGATACACATTCTAATAAAGTACCATTAATTATAACTATATCTTTTTCTCCTGCAAGGTATTCCATCGTTGTCCAGATCCAATTACGACGCATCATTTTCGTTTTTTAAATCATTTAATACCAATCTATTCTTAAATGTCAACTTGTAAACTTCATTCATTGCAGAATTTAGTTGACTTTCAACCGATTCTAGAGTACTACCACTAAAAAAAAAGGTTTTTTTCGTCAGCAAACATGACAAGTTTTCCTGACTTGATACTAGAAACCAAATCATTAATATAGATGGTAAACAACAGGGGCCCTAAAACCGAGCCTTGTGATTCCCCAGAGATAATTGACCTTGTATTAGATAATTTACTCCCTATTTCTGTCAATTTAGCCATAAAGCAAAAGTAAGATTTAATCCATGCCAATGCATTCTCAGAGCATCCTATTATAGAAAGTTTCTTCAGCAATACATCATAATGTATATAATCAAATCATATCAATAAAGTAGTCATTCAGTTTTTGGCAACAAAGTCATCATTAATATTCAATTTTATGGAAAGCTGACCAGTGCCAGAGGAAATTTGCTTTAAAATTGATCATAATGCACCAGGTTTCACAGACTTATCTTACAATAAACCCTGTATAAAGTCTTGTTTAGATTTTCTTTTAGTTATACCTGTTTATGTTTCGTATTCTTAAATATTTTTCCGTAAACTTGGGGAGTTAAACTTTAAAGCCTTATTATGGAGTTACTTTCTTTTATTTATCAACGTAATTATTTCACCTGTGATCCAGGGAGAGGGTTTTTTCCTCAATCTTTTGCGTTTATATGGCATACGTTTTTTAATTACTGACATTACTTGATTGTACCACAATTTCCTAGCTATGTCAACGTTGCTAACACAAGATACATTAGAAACATTAAGTTGAAAAGATCGTTGACAGTTAAGTTTCTGAATTTGATATCATTATGAAAATTCCCAGCACTTCTAGAATGTAAGCATGTTTTTTGTATTGAAATTGTCTTTTTTTATTTCTATTAGTCACTTCAAGGTACATTGATATATTTGACAAATGTAAACAATCATGTTGATATCAAAACATGATTACTAATATGAGTTTTTATGACACCTGAAATACTGTGATCACCGGACATGTTGTATAAATATGGTCAACAAGTGTTTTAGAATACTGGGTCACGCGAGTAGGAAGCTTAATCAACTGTGACATAAGTGATCGTCCCTGCGAAAAGAAAAGAAATAATTTGAAAGTTTATACGCAAACTGGTCGAGGAAAGAGTACAAATTATATTTGCAATTTGTTTAAAATGTGAAAATATAAATTTAAAAAAAAAATGATGTGAATATTTTTCATCTGTAAATGTGTAACTTTATGTGAAACCTTGTATGGAAATGTAAACGTTCACTTTATTTAGACCTATGTGAAGATTATTTTGTTATTTTATATACAATGTTATAAATATGTACAATTTTCTTTATGAGAGAAGAGAATAAAAACCTATGAAAACAAAAAATTACAGATAAAAGAGATCGTGTCGATGAAGTAACGAGGGCGGTCTGTGTGTGACGGCCGTAACCATGAGTGCTCCTGCGTCGTAGAAGGTCTGTCCGTCGCTGAGCGAAAACTCACTATTGTCAGAAAGTAGGTCACAATTGAGGTTCCCCAATATAATCAGTTCACAATCAAAATCAAGAGCCTTATCATCATAGCAAACATTCAATCAAAATAATCAACTGAAGAGTTCGGCGGACAGTACATAACACAAATTCAAAATGATTTCACGTCCCGTACTTTGGTTTTTATCCAAATAGTTTCTAAGTTAAACCCAAGATATTTCACATGTTGAAAATGGAGGGTGTTGTTCTTCACATAAATCATCACACCCCCACCATGCCTACTTCTATCTTTCCTTAACCATCAATATGCAGTTCGTTGTTATAACTATCACAATGAGTCTCAGTAAGGCCGATGATGTCGAAGGGAGAATTTTTTAACGAATACCTTAAGTCTTCAAGTTTATTTGGAAGGAATAGAGTACCGAAGCTGTGACGTCATAAAAATCTATTTTTAGAATTTCTCAATTTTGTCTTCATATTCCGAAAGAACATCGAAAATAATGTCCAAATGTCGAAAAACCAATTGAATATGTTAAGTATTGGCTGAGATATGACCATCTGAATAAATATACTGCCCATATAATAGGAACTCAGTGTTATATGCTCTGGCTCCTAATGGTTAGGAGCCAGAGCATATAACACTGAGTTCCCATAGGACATATATTCATTCAGATGGTCATATCTCAGCCAATACTCAACATATTCAATTGGTTTTTCGACATTTGGACATTATTTTTGATGTTCTTTTGGAATATGAAGAAAAAAATTGAGAAATTCTAAAAATAGATTGTTGATGACGTCACACTTCACCACTCTATTAACATTCAATAACACACACGTAATCCTCGTTTTGAAATAACTGGTTTACTGACATCATCAGCAAGTTCACGATAGGCTTCTTGATTACTATTACTGTCTGCATTGTCAGGATTTCGAACTGAGTCACTTGATCCATTGAAGTTAATGCCGGGATCAAAGTTATGTAAGCAAGCCTTGCTACTGCTGTGATAATCATGGTTTGATTCAGTATTGTTCACACAAGTATACACACTTTGATCATTCTCAATGTCCCTGTTGAGGGATACATTAAAACCACTCTCATCAAAGCGTTGCTTTCTTTCGGGCTTTCTTTGGTACCACCATTACTAGAGTCAACAGTAAAATCATATAATTCACTTGAAATCTCTACAGCGCAAGGCTTAGTTGTTTATTCCGGGTTCGGAAGCCTTCTTGCCGTTTGCAGACTGTCAAGCCAATCTCGTGGAACATATCTCCCTTTGAGTCTCCGTCGAAATATCTGGTGTGGGTTGTTCCGAAAAAAAGGAGTCGGGCTGTATTTTACGACTGACGCATAATCTTTAGCAGTTAAATAAAAAATTAGTCGGCTCATTTTTACACGAAGCATATTTTTTCTCTTCATTTATTGTTTTTTATTATGTTTATGTTGATTGTTCAATAATGCTTTTATTTGTATATTCTCACATGCAGGGCCCCAACTTATTGTTGGTTGTGCTACACTGTTTTCTTTTAAATAAATACAAATGAATAAATAAATAAATACATTTACCACGGAGATGTGCGATTATATTCTGCGCAAGTACTCGAGCGCCGAAACTGTTACGATAATAATAATAATAATAATACATGAGATTTATATAGCGCCATTTTCCATTTTAATTAAATGCTCAAGGCGCTTCAAAATATTAGGAAACACATTACATCATGACAAAGAATTGTGTACATTTACATAAGAAAGAAAATGCAAACATGAACGAATGAATGTCTGTCTTCAAAACGCAAATTAAACAAATGGGATTTAAGGTTGCTCTTAAAAGATGTTGAAGAGTCGGAGTTCTTCAGCTCCTGTGGAAGTGAATTCCACAGGGCTGGTCCGGCATGAGCAAAAGCTCGTTCCCCCCAAGATTTCTTTGAAAGCGGTATGTGTAGAAGACCAGAGTTGGAGGATCGGAGGATACGTGTGGGTTGGTAGAGGTGAACTAAAGACTGGTTGTATTCAGGAGCTGTTCTGTTCATGATTTGATGAACTAAAAGAAGGATTTTGAAAATTATACGTTCTTTTACAGGCAACCAATGGAGATTTTGTAAGATAGGTGTAATGTGACTATGTTTGCTTGACAGAGAGATGATGCGTGCAGCTGCGTTTTGTAGTTTTTGTAACTGTGCAATTTGTGAATTTGGTAAATTATAGAGTAAACTGTTGCCGAAATCCAAACGTGAAGAAATAAGTGAGTGAACAAGTTTGTCTGTTGCCGAACGAGTCAGATATTTCCGTATGAAGCCAATATTGCGCAATTGATAGCGAACTGATCTAGAAATGCTTGTGATTTGTTTAGACATAGACATTTGAGAATCAAGAATGACGCCAAGATCGCGACATGAATTTGATAAGGGAATGGTGTTACCGGAAATAGAAATTGAGTCTATATTTAATTTATTCAACTGAGATTTTGAGCCGAAAAGAATGAATTCGCATTTACTACGATTTAATAGCAGAGAATGTGACTTCATCCAGGCGTCAATATCAGCGATGCAATTTTCCAAATTTTGC